TCCAGTAGAAAGAATTTAGCTGTTTTTACAGTTGGAAACATGCAGATATTTGGACAATTTTGGTTGTATTTGTCCCTTTATTGTAGGCTTGAAAACGCATGGATCTGAGATTTACTTATTTTTTTGGCAGAAATGAAGGGGATGATGTAGCACTTTTAACTGAACAAACTCAAGTACTTTAAAGAAAAACTGAAAACTTTTATTTTTGGGGGTTTGGGAGGGTGACCTGAACTTACTAAAGAATCTCAACGTAAAGTTAGATCATACTAGAATTATTAAATTTATAATACATTCAACCTTTGATGTCAGTCTGAATAAAGAAGCACCACAGAACAGATGAACTTTGAAAAGTTGTGTCATTGGGCCATGTCTGTCTGTTCCACTGGTTTCTTATATAACTTGCTTGTTTTGGCTTCATACGCAGACACTTGCAGACTGCTCTTTCACGAAGGCATTAAATGTAAACTCCATCAGCTGGAATTCTGATTTCTCGCTCTGTTAATATCAGTCTTTTTATCTGTGTGTCTCTACGCAGAACATAATCAGGTATTAGTTGCGTCAGAGTCAGGTTTTCTGTGGTAAACACCCACATAAACAGTGTGTGTGTGTGTGTGTGGGGGGGGGCAGACACAAGTGAAGAGCTGAGATGTTTTTGCCGCCATTCTTTGCATTGTTTGTCTTTCTATTTTTAAACTGCAGTCACTGGGCTTGTTAGAGGCTCAGACGTGCCGCTTTTTCCGTGTTCTGTTGTTTCAGAGCCTTTTAGTTTCTATTGGACTATTGCCTGAATCCTTCATACATGTGACTAATAGTGACCCACCAGTGGATAACAGTGCTCAGTGGTGGTGTGTAAGAGTCTGGGGCAATGAAACATGATATAGTCTTTTCTCAACAAGTATCCAGAGTGCATGGGGCAGGAGTTTTGAGAATGCACATGTTGAAGGTTGACTACTACTTTCCTTTAAGTTGTGCAAACACTTTTTGGTTAAATCTAAAGTCAGAAACTGGTGAGATTCACTGGAAAATCTTGCAGATAGAGGCTACCAAGAAGTGTAAACATAAACCCAATATTCATACTTTTGATCGGATAATTTTTGGGGGAGTTGAAGGCTGGGTCAATGTCTTGAAATGTGTTTTTTTCCATTCCCATTGAGATTTTGTGGTGTGTTTACTGACATCATTGCTGTTGGTTGGTTGGTCCACTCGGTTGTGGACGTGAATGGGGGCAGTTGCCGATCCAATCACACATTTTCCAAGTCTGCTTGGGCTCCAAGGCTGCCTCAAGGAGTATGGGTTGTTGGTGAACTCTAGTGCAATGTCTGCATAGACAAGTCTGATTGGTCATCTTGATAAAAATCGAACAATTTTGTTAAGGTCGCCTGTCAGTATACAAATGAGGATGAAAGATGGCTACTTGCCACCAGCTTACTTTTTAACTTGAAAAGTGTGTTACTCTGCTCAGAGAAATGGGTAGATTTTAACATTTCTTTGAAAGCGTTTTGGTTTGTTCCTTCACTTCTTGTGTCATGATTGCAATGAAGATGGTGAGGTTAATATAATGGGTAGTGTTAACAAGTGTTAATGAACAGATTTCAAGATTTTAGCATGTATTTAGAAGGAATTTAGTCAGGCAAAATCACACCTAGCTTCCCTTCTTCAGCCTTAATGCAACAACAGAATCAAGAAAGTCCCCTGAGCAGAAAGTTTGTCTGTCTGGTGACCCCCACCAGAAAAGTCAAGATCAAAGTAGGTCAAAACATCTGCTGAATGTGCATTCATTTCCCAGCTGATGCAAATATTACTGTAAAAGTCAAGCTGGATGGAAAACTAAATGGGATTTACTAATTTCAGAACAAGCAATCATCCATATGGCACTGTATCGCATCACATCCACGAGGCCTCTGTGTCAGCTGTAAAGCTGGATTTGCCAAAGAAATTACCAAGCAACAAGCTCAAACAAACAAATGTGGTGAAACTTTACAGAAGAGCTGCATGTCTTTTTAGGGAGATGTCTGGCTTTCGTGGAATGGATAAATTCTTACCTTGTCAGCCCATCCATGTTGCTATAATTGCTTTGCAATTTTACTGTCACATGTTCAGCACACCATCTTGCCTGGAAAGCAAACTCCTACAGGGCGCTGGAAGTCGAGAGGGTATCAGCGGGTTGAGTTTTCGTCATCAGGGTTATGTGAGACAAGGCTGGGTGTGTGGGTCAGGTGGGTGTAAAAGAGATACTCTCGCTTCTCGTGGCCTAGGTGCCAAACTGAAGCATGATTGTGGGGAGGGAGAATTGGACTGAGCTGCAGATAAAGTGGAAGTTTAACTGATAAGTTCTGACTGCTTAATTTCTATGGCTGAACTAAAACAGTTTCTCTTTTTCAACACAAATACAGGGTGTTTTTGGATCGTAGCAGATTACAAATTTATACAGACAATTTGGATTATCATTTTGAGTCAATGCAAATGATCTGTGTTGGGTCGGACAATGTAATAAAAGTAAATATAACAACGACTTGGTGGAGTCCATCTTTAATGCTGGTCAAGGATGAAAGAATAATGGAGATGACTGCAGACATGGCACTGATTGTGTTAGTAAGCAAAAAAATGAGGTTCTGGGCAGAAGATGGGCTGCAAAGTGGCTTGCAGAAGTGCAGCAACTGTAAACGACTTTTCACCATATGAGATTTACCAGTTGCATGCATATGATGGTATCAGTTAAATCACCTTAGTAGTCAAGTTTAGTTAGTTTAATGCTCTGTTTGTGAGACAGTGAAACTGTGAATATGGAGTTAAAAGCTGTGCAAGGAAAGAAGAAAACCAACCTTGGTGAAGATCGTTTCCAGTATTAGCAGCTGCCAGCAAATGCTAATATGCAATACTTAGGCTGAATAAGCTTTTCCTGAAGACCTGCCAAGAATAGGGATAAATCTGGGATACGTCAGAAATACCACATTAAGTCACACCATGCTGGAAGTAATTTTTTTCTTTTACAAATGTCCAGTCCCTTTATCAGCATGTGCTGGTAAATTTGTATCAAGTTGCACTCAGAAAGAAAGAACAAGCTCATATTATTAGTGACAGACTTTCAGCGTAAGTCATTGGAGGTAAACGTGGCCTTAAGCTGCTAAACGCTGCAGAGCCACTGGGCTACAGTAGTGATCCTACTTGTATTTGTTAAGCTTCCCCTTCCACACTGTTTACTGCATCAATCATTCACTGGAGTTAAATCAGACTCAGAAACGAGTTAGGTTTTGTGTAAAATGTAACACAGTCTACAAAACTGTCAGTATTTTGATATTTGTTGGTTAACTGGTGGAAACCTGTCTAGCTGCTGTAGTAACTTGAGCCCCATCACCATTTCCCACCAGCTGTTTCCACCAGGACAGCTGCAACCACAGGACATGTAGTTTCCATCCTCAGCTGGATAAAGTGGGATATTTAATATGAGGAACATGGTTGAGACATTTCCAGCTTTTACACTGACAATGACAGATTAATTTGGTCTGAACAACAGTAGAAATTTCTCTTAGTACACTATGCATTCATGTTTGAACTTGAAATGCTCTTGTTTATTTTAGGTTGGATGAGGGAAAGGCAATAACAACAATCTGGGAAATGAGTCAGTAGGCTAAATAGACAGCAGGAAAACAAAGGTAACAAGCTACAGGTGAATTTAATCAAACACTAAAGAGGACAGGGCAAATACCAAAGGAAGGAAGCATAAACATAGAAAGAAATATGAAGACCTAACAAGAAGTAAACCAAAAAGGAGACCAGAATAAACTTTGACAACGACGAGACAAAGGTGCAGGGTAGACTGATGCTTTCTTCTGCAGAGTGATCACATTTCATAGGTATATTTTGGTGTAAGAGACTGCTCACACTGAGTTTGAGATTTTTGTAATAACTGGGTCCAGATTTATGCTTTTCTTTCTGCAAATTTTTGCTATTTATTTCCATCATATTCACGAGAAGATAGTAGGCTAAACAGCTCTAGAAGTAGTATTTTGCTTCCTGTTTGAGGTCGTGAGAAAGCACATCAATCTGATTTAAGTCCAGATCTTGACTAGGCCATTACAAAATCTTTTTCTTTGTTCTTTGAGCCATTCAGAGGTGACCTTTCCAGAATCACTGTCCTGGTGATCGATGTTTCTGGTGTTACATTATACACTAGTAGATGCTCATTTATCACATTTTAGCTTTACTAATATTACAGCCGCATTGCGTTACAGCCTGGGGAACTGAAAGTAGCTAAGAGAGGAAAGATGACTTTAGCTGCCTCATACTCATATCTATTTATCACACATGACCTACACACGAGCCACACCTGTGCCTTTCATAGCTGTTTTACATCTGAAGAGAACACGAGAGGCTGATAGTGGAGCTTAAATAGGAGGTGATGTTCAGGAACTCCCATCCTGGAGCGGAAAGTTTTATAAATCATCAGGTGGCCCAGAATTCCCAGCAGTGCCACAGCATGGAAACCAGTTTCACGTTCCTATTCCCATCCCACACCTGTCTGCACAGTCATCGTGCCAATGTTATTGTAGGCTTCCTAATTTAAACAATGGCATTTGCATTGGAGTGGCTTTTTACTTGGACTAAAATTTATTAATGACCCTCAACGAAGCAGAATTTCAAGCCTCTGACAGCAATGTAATCCCCTTCTTAGTTTGTCAAACGCTGGTCCTATTTTTAATGCGGAGTCACCGTAAAGTGTGTCAGCATGATCTAGTCCAGTCAATTTATTGGAGGGGACTATGAAAACAGACTAAAGCAAGAAATGCAACAGAACTAGAAAACTTAAAAAACACAGAACTCTGGGCAACAGACCCACGACCACGACAATTTTAGCCTTTCATGTCTAAATTATGGAGCCTATTAGAGTAGCAGCATCATTAGAGCTCCAAATTTACATTTTAGAGGCCCATTGTTTCAAGCACAGTCAGGAGTGTTATCTTCAATTGAATTAACATTCCTCTGTCTTTGTCTCTTTATAGCTGGGAGATCATTGATTCAGGCCAGGACAGCCGGACTGGGGTCGGACCTCAGCTTACTGACTCCCTCAGACTCTTCCTGCAAGAGACATCAGCTTTCAAAAAGCAAAACCCAGGAAAGGTGAGGCAGAACACATCATGCTTTTTCATGAACACATTTGTATTTTATATATATATATAAAAAAAAAAAAAAAAAAACACCCAGCACGCCCCTGCGGGCGGTTTATCCTTCAAGCTCGGGTCCTCTACCAGAGGCCTGGGAGCTTGAGGGTCCTGCGCAGTATCTTAGCTGTTCCCAGGACTGCGCTCTTCTGGACAGAGATCTCCGATGTTATTCCCGGGATCTGCTGGAGCCACTCGCCTAGCTTGGGAGTCACCGCACCTAGTGCTCCGATTACCACGGGGACCACCGTTACCTTCACCCTCCACATCCTCTCGAGCTCTTCTCTGAGCCCTTGGTATTTCTCCAGCTTCTCGTGTTCCTTCTTCCTGATATTGCTGTCATTGGAACCGCTACATCGATCACTACGGCCGTCTTCTTCTGTTTGTCTACCACCACTATGTCCGGTTGGTTAGCCACCACCATTTTGTCCGTCTGTATCTGGAAGTCCCACAGGATCTTAGCTCGGTCATTCTCCACCACCCTTGGGGGCATCTCCCATTTTGACCTCGGGACTTCCAGGTTATACTCGGCACAGATGTTCCTGTACACTATGCCGGCCACTTGGTTGTGGCGTTCCATGTATGCCTTGCCTGCTAGCATCTTGCACCCTGCTGTTATGTGCTGGATTGTCTCTGGGGCATCTTTACACAGCCTGCACCTGGGGTCTTGCCTGGTGTGATAGACCCCAGCCTCTATGGATCTTGTACTCAGAGCTTGTTCTTGTGCTGCCATGATTAGTGCCTCTGTGCTGTCTTTCAGTCCAGCTTTGTCCAGCCACTGGTAGGATTTCTGGATATCAGCCACCTCCTCTATCTGCCGGTGGTACATACCGTGCAGGGGCCTGTCCTTCCATGATGGTTCCTCGTCTCCCTCCTCTTTCTTGGGTTTCTGCTGCCTGAGGTATTCACTGAGCACTAGGTCAGTTGGGGCCATCTTCCCAATGTATTCTTGGATGTTCCTTGTCTCATCCTGGACTGTGGTGCTGACACTCACCAGTCCCCGGCCCCCTTCCTTCCGCTTAGCGTACAGCCTCAGGGTGCTGGACTTGGGGTGAAACCCTCCATGCATGGTAAGGAGCTTTCTTGTCTTTATGTCAGTGGCTTCTATCTCCTCCTTTGGCCAGCCTATTACCCCAGCAGGGTACCTGATCACGGGCAGGGCGTACGTGTTGATGGCCCGGATCTTGTTCTTACCATTCAGCTGACTCCTCAGGACTTGCCTGACCCTCTGCAGGTACTTGGTGGTTGCAGCCTTTCTAGCGGCCTCTTCATGGTTCCCATTTGCCTGCGGGATCCCCAGGTACTTGTAACTGTCCTCTATGTCTGCAATGTTGCCTTCTGGTAGTTCAATCCCCTCAGTTCTGACTACCTTCCCTCTCTTTGTTACCATCCGACTACACTTCTCCAGTCCGAACGACATTCCAATGTCATTGCTGTATAGCCTGGTAGTGTGGATCAGTGAATCGATGTCTCGTTCACTCTTGGCATACAGCTTGATGTCATCCATGTACAGGAGGTGGCTGACAACTGCTCCGTTCCGTAGTCGGTATCCGTAGCCAGTCTTGTTAATGATCTCACTGAGGGGGTTCAGGCCTATGCAGAACAGCAGTGGGGACAGAGCATCTCCTTGGTAGATCCCGCACTTGATGGTGACTTGTGCTATGGGCTTGGAGTTGGCCTCTAGTGTTGTACGCCACATCCCCATTGAGTTCCTGATGAAGGCTCTTAGGGTCCCATTGATCTTGTACAATTCTAGGCATTCCAGTATCCAGCTGTGGGGCATTGAGTCATAGGCCTTCTTGTAATCAATCCAGGCAGTGCACAGGTTGGTCAGTCTGGTCTTGCAGTCTCGGCTGACTGTTCTGTCTACCAGTAGCTGGTGTTTTGCGCCTCTGGTATTCTTGCCAATTCCTTTCTGTGTCCCACTCATGTATTGACCCATGTGCCTGTTCATCTTAGCCGATATGATGCCTGACAGGAGCTTCCATGTAGTACTGAGGCAGGTTATTGGTCGGTAGTTGGAGGGGACCGGTCCCTTCTTGGGGTCCTTGGGGATCAGGACCGTCCGACCTTCGGTTAGCCATTCCGGGTGTCTCTCGTTAACTAGCAGCTGGTTCATTTGTGCTGCCAGACGCTCGTGGAGTGCAGTCAGCTTCTTTAGCCAGTAGGCGTGAACCATGTCGGGCCCTGGTGCTGTCCAACTCTTCATACTGGAGACCCTTTCTTGGATATCTGCCACTGTGATGGTTACTGGACCCTGTTCAGGGAGGTCGCTGTGGTCTGCCCTCAGATCCACTAGCCACTGAGCATTGCCGTTATGGGTTGCGTCCTTCTCCCATATGCTCTTCCAGTATTGCTCCGTCTCCAGCCTTGGTGGTGCTGTTCTCTTATTATTGTTCCCTTGCCACTGAGAGTACACCTTTGCTGGTTCTGTGGAGAACAGCTGGTTTATTCTCCTGCCTTCTATCTCTCTGGTGTACCTCCTCAAGCGGCTGGCTAAGGCTGTGAGTCTTTGCTTGGCAGTTTCCAAGGCCTCAGGTATGGACAGCTTGCTGTATTTCTTATGCACCTTCTTTGTCGCACCTTTCTGCAACTCCGTTAGTTGGCTAACCTCCCTCCGTGCTACTTTGATCTTGCCCTCTAGCCTCCTTCTCCATGGAGGGTACTGCCCCTTGTGGCTGTTCAACTTGTAGCCAAGCATCTCACTGATCACTGCTGCCGTATTGTAGATCAGCTTGTTAGTGTCGGTAATCGTGGTTGTAGGTATTGCCCGTAGTGCTGCATTAACATCATCTAGCAGACCTTCTGAGGGTACTTCACGTAATCTTGGTAACCGGCTACGGGGGATCCAGGTTTCAAGCTTGGCCATGATCCTATTTTTCAGGTCAGTTCCTCTCGCACTCAACGATCCTTCTCCTATCGCACTTGGGGCTATGTACCCAATCTCGGGTGGGGGTGATGATATCTCCCCCCTGACCTGGCGTCCTGACTCCTCCTTGCCATAGCATTTGTGTTGTACCTCGTCAATCTCTAGCTGTGAGAGCAGTCCCTTCTTTCGAATGTTGGAACACTGAGCTACTAGTTGTTTCGCCGTCATTGTGGATGTTGGGTATCGAAGAATCCATAGGTCCGTCATCCTATTCATGTAGCCCCTTCCGCCGGGGTTACTTGCGTAGTAGCATTCCAACAACGCCCTGTTTTCATCTCTTGCCCACCGATGCCTTCTTGTTCCAGTAGCCCACTTTTCGTCAGGGTGCCCTGGTTCCTCAACACCTGACGCGGACCTTGTTGATCCGGGCGACGTCCGAGCCGGCATGCCTTCATATTTATCTGTCTCGCTCATGTCTGCGGTAGGCTCGCTTAGCATAGGGGGTCTAGCCTTAGGACCCTTACTGGATACAGACGCCCCAGGCAGGAATCGAACTTGCGATCCTCTGCTCCAAAGGCGTGTAGTCTAACCACTACGCTATCCAGCTGCTATATATATATATATATATATATATATATATATATATATATATACTATATATATAGTATATATATATATATATATGTATATATATATATGTATATATATATATATATATATATATATATATATATATATATATATATATATATGTATATATATATATATATATATATATATATATACAGTATATATATATATATTTATTTAATTATATATATATACTAGACACACATGTATATATATATATGTATATATATATATATGTATATATATATATATTTAATATAACAATTAGTTAATAAATTATAGAAATCTGTATAAAACAATTTTACCATTCAGCATTGTTGGAAAATACCTGTTTGCTTTATAACTTCACTGTCTGTAATTTGTGTCTGAAGCTGAAGCTTGGAGGGATTTTGCATATCTGTAAAAACACAAATACTAAAACAGTTTATTGTTGAGGGGGAGTTTAGTTTGTAACTGACAGCAAAAAGTTCTTTGTTTTTGCCTCTCTGTTTTAGTTTTGCCTGCTGGTTTGCAGCGTGTGCACTTTCTTTGCTGTCTTAGGACGCTACATTCCAGGGATCGTTATCTCGTATATTCTAGGTGAGTCCTCAAAGATTTGCTCAACAAAAGGTCAAGTTACCAACTGAAAAACACATTTGAATCACATTTTTTTGTCTGGTTTCCGAGAGTTATTTCACCAAATTGAGTGCAATAGCGGTGTGCCATCGGGATACCGTTAATTAGTGCAATAATTAGCAAAGAAATAATGATTATGAGTCTACACATTGATGTAACCCTTGTGTTGTCCTCGAGCCAAAAATGGTCCCTAGTTGAATAGCAAACAAGTATATGGGAATCCCGAGGACAGCAGAAGTTAAACAGCACATATGATGAATATCGCATGCTGAATTTGAGCTTGCTGTACACATTTTATTCTGCAAAATAAGCTGACATTGTTATTTTTCTCTGTGAAGTGTTGGGTGTCTTTCTGTGGCCTCTGATTTCATCTCATGACATCAGCTCGTGGCTGGAGCCAGTTCTGCAGAAGCTGGACTTTGGCATCGGCGAGTTTTTTCAGAAAATCAAAGAGAACCACGGTAAATATCATGCAATTTGTTTTTACTCATTATCCAAACAAGGACATGAGATCAGGAAGTGACTTACCATGTGGTTTTTTTTTTAAGACAACTACCTGCCAAACTGCTGCAAACCTATATGACCTTTATTTTTCTATTATGTAGACCTAACCAGAACAAATCTTTAAAAACTTTAACTGAAGTTTTGTTGCAACTGCTAAATGCCACCTTTGGCATATATCTCAACAACACATAACAAGCATAATGTAAGGGTCTGTCGTTTCTGCTCTGCAGTTCATTAAGACTGTTTTTTCATTTGACCCAAAGTTAAGTGTGCAGGTAAATTGACATTAAGGTCACGGCTTGACCTAGATTTGACATTATTGTGAAATGCTGCATAGCATGTAGGAACTATTGTAGAAATGTACACTGAATGTGGAGTAGATTTTTTATAAAAATGCTTATTTAAATAGCGAGTGAACATTAAAAAGATTTGTTATCATGTAAAAATCAGTTTACCTTTTTTATCCAGTATTTTGCCAGAGAACTAAATCAGTCTTATCCTTGTTTTTCTTTTTTTTTTCTTTCAGAAAAGCGACTCCTGCAGGCTCAGAATGAGAAAGAAGGCATTGAGTCAGACCTCTCCTCTATGTTTCCAAAGGTTGGCTAATCATCTTCTCATCTTAATGTAATTATGCCTCTGTTGACTGATAGCATCCAGTTAAAGCTAGTAAAATTCAATACACATGATCCACATCACCATCGTCAGCATGGGACAAATTCAATGGCAAGAAATGCTTTAACGTTTTTCTCCTCATGCCAAACACTGAGCTGCTGGTTGAATTCACTGAGTGCACTTCCCTGTCACGCTCACTATTAGAGCGTTCAAAACACTGTGCAAATATAATGAATGCAATGCAGAAAGAATGTGTTGTATGCCTTGTAAGCCTCAAGTGACTTCAGGATTCTGTAGTTTCATGCACTTAGTTGTTATGCGGCTTCATCTTTTAGTCCCGGATGTCACCACTTTGTCTGAGTCAACCAATTACCAGCTCAGATCTGGGTTTGCACTATAAAATCTGACGTCTGCGTGTGTCTCTCTTCCCCAGCTCGATTCCACAGTGTGTAAAGAGATGTCTGTCTCGGACACAGAGGTGTCAGATGTCACATGGACAGACAATGGTACTTTCAACCTGTCAGAGGGACACACACCACAGACTGAGAACTCAGAGGGTAAGTTTCATTTGACGCTCTTCTGACTGACGCCGAGAGCTACTTTGTGTCTCGCATATTTAGGTAACTGGTGTTTCTTCCTTTTTGTGTCGGGGCCACTTTGATCAGACTTCGACAGAGAAGAACCGTTCATTGGTGGCCTACTTGAATTCCCTTCACTTGATAATGGCATGACCACCAATGGCGACGACGACGA